GAGTTACTCACAAGTTCCTAATATAATTATCGTATGTAGAAAGTCATGACAGGACCCATCTTTTATTTAAAAAAATTAAAACTTTCATTTGCTACCTGAGTGCCAACATTTTATTTTCTCTACTAATCAGTAATTTGCAATATTTCTATTAAACATGTCACATTGCGAAAGGTCGTTGGAACGCCCTCTATCGTAGTATTTATATAGTTATTTTTTGGTGACCCAGGTCACACTCAATTTGTCAAGGTGGTCACCAGTGTTCTTAAACTATCCATTGATTAATGGTTTTGCTACAATTAAAATCGACAAGAGTTACCACTTTTCAATTGTACCTCCTTTTTTGAAATTCCGGACATACGGCATTTTATTTCCCAGCCTTTTCCCATTATTTATTCTATTTTACAACGTGACACCACTTTAAGACAATGTATATCATTCCAAGCTACCTTTGTGTATGTCATTTGTATTTATTTAGCTCATAAAATAATTATTACATTTCAATTCAAACCACGATGTGATTTTTTTTTATAAATTTATAGATGAATACAAAAGTAGATTTGGCGTGCCTTCTTCCTCTTTGGCATCATTGACCACTCCAGGAGTACTATCAGCCAATATTGTAGTTTTGACCTCCTCAGGTGTCATCTCCGGTTTGATACCCAATTTAATAGCCGCAACGCCTACCGTAGAATGAAAAAAACGGGTTAATATGAAAACATGTCATTAGGACACAGAATGGTAATGAATGAAAACAACGTGGTGTTAATCAGCGTGTTTTATTTGTCAATAATTCCATACTATACTTCTTTTGTTTGTACTCTTTTGTTTATCTAGTTAAATATATCTTATACTATAGTGGCCGCCAAGATCTCGTTGAGAACGAGAAAGCCGCGAGACTGGTCGTCATTTTCTCCTGATATCATGCCTACTCTTCCAAAAATCGCTGTAACCATGGTTTACATAGTACACTTCGCTTAAAATTTTAGAGGTCTGAGTACTCAAATTTGGTTGTTGCAGCATCGTGTGTACATACACTGTCTATATCGTTATTAGCGACTTTTGCAACCATATTAGAAATGTTCAAGATAAACATCCTGTGGGACACTTGGAAAGAAATCGGTCGAGTAGTTAGCGCACCGGGGATGATTGCATTTAGCACTCGCGTAGCACGTTCATGTAGAAACGACAAGCGAAAATGGTGAAAATGACATACATTTCTTAAAATGATTAGAGGGCGGTAGTCGTCGAGGCACGCATGCGCAAGATATATGGGGTCTCATATAAACAAAGATGGCGACGTTACCAAGCTTCAATCAAGTAATTTTTAGGTGATTGGAAGGTATTGAAGGAGTCACGGGAGGTAATTAGTGTACGTCGCGCCCAGGTCAAACCTCATACTTGTGATTTGTTGGAAAATCAATGTTTATCAACACAAATGTCGCACATGCGCAGCGCGACGACCACCGCCCTTTAAATCTGCTTTAAGTGATCCAAATTCGAACGTTGCTACTGAAGCCAATTTTCTTCGTTTCTCTGTATGCACTGCGGGGTTAGGACGTGATAATGGGGTCACACCCGGTACCGATGAGAACAAACCGTTTCAATATAATATTAAGCGGCGCGGTAATTTAAAATATGAGGTAGAAACTGTAAACAAACAGAAATTTTCTTACCGGCGACATGCGGACAGGCCATTGATGTGCCACTTAATGTTGCGGTGCCATCGAGATCTTCATTGTGACAGCTTACAATATCAACACCCGGAGCCCAGATATCTTGACATGGTCCATAGTTTGAGAAATATGCCCTGGTATCTGTGTCATCTGTTGCGCCTACCGCTATTGTCTGGTGAGATATAGTTTAGAGATATATAACTAATCTCCACATCAATATATATTATGATGGATACTAGTATCTTCACAATGTAAGGAAAAAATAAGGTAACAATTTATCTGCGACATTCCCTAGACGTCGCTAACATGCTACTATAACAACCTATGCATCATCTGAAAGATTCAATATTGGTAGGATGACGCATGCGCACTAATTCACTGACTACTATCTTAAGTGCAAAGGTTGCCAACGTCTGTACTAGATATTTAATAATGTCATCGCGACCACCGCAACACAGGAAACTCGCCATACAGCCAGGCGCTTAAAGAGCGAGTTTGGGTTTTAATCATTAGTACCTTACAAAAAAAAAACAACTAGGCAGCATTTTTAACGAGGAAGCATGTACACTATATTGAAATGGAGTCGTGGAGCACGTAACTACAGTAAAGCAGACGTGCCTATGTAAATAACCTACCCTATTGTTTCGCTGAGGCGACTTGAAACAGGCGTCCCTGTCATCATTACCGGACGAGGTGACCACAGACACTCCCCTATCTACGCAATAGTCGGCTGCCTCATCAAGAATGTCAGAGTCAGGATAACTCAGCGACATAGATATAGCTGCTGGTCTGTTTCCACTGTCAGCAACAGCTTCCATTCCTTGAAGATAAAAACAGTAACAATATGTAAGCGCGATTGTGCGGCATTTTCCAGAATATGTTATATACTGCTTTTCAATTGCTTATAGACTCCTTTTTGAAATGTTGTTTCATGAGAACGGACGTAATACCACATGGGTGTCTGGGTAATGATTTTCGGACGCGGCAACAATAAAATAAGAAACTCGTTGTACGTGGCAACATGTGTATACTGGTGTGTGTGTGCAATGACAGCTACAGCGTGCAAGAATGAAATTAAATACGAGTGATTGAAATAAACGTGGATACTTTCGAGTAGTAAAAATAGTGATAAATTATCCTATATATCCATTAGAGATGATGAATATGTTACCGAAAACAACATCGCTGGCTGGTCCACCACCCAAGCAGTTCAATACACGCGTGTTCCAAAGATTCACTTTCTTCGCTACCCCATAGGTAATACCTCCAACAGTACCAGCACAATGCGTTCCGTGCCCATTACAGTCTACCTAATTAACAAAAAAAAAAACACAAATAAACGACATATCATGAAATACTGATATGATGATGATGATATGATCAATGTCGTATATCACGAGGCAAAATTTTGTCAACTTTTTTCTTCAATTCCAATAAAATTGGAATATTATTACGCTGAGAACTTTTGTTGGTTTCTTTGTCAATGCCCCCTTTTGAAATGAATGACATCACATTTCTCACTGACATATTGTGACTATACTGTGTATTAGTGTTGGCGATTTGAATGGCGGGGGTACTAATTATTTTCCGTTCACCAAACAGTTGAACAATGAAATCAGACATTTTTATTGCTGTATGTATTAAAAAAATAATTAAACCAATTGTTGAGATACAATAAGCATTTTCATAAATAAACGTTCTTTTCGTTAAATGTTATGCAGTTACGCTCGCACAAGAATATGTATAATAAAGTTTGATCTTAGATCTTGTCTGGGCAGAAAACTGTCAAATAATATCGTGATCATGTTGCAGCATGCACATTGCATGAAATATGATATATATATATATACCAATTAAAAACACTTCTAAATAAACTGGTTGATAATGAATAGGGAGTTTAAATACATTTTTTACATGTCGTGATTTGACATTGTAATATTTGACATTATTATTATTATACACTTGTCATTATGTCGCGTGTACATTTACTTCAAATGATTATATGCATAATTACAGTAATATAATTATATTTTATCATATAACTTGACAAGTAGTACATTCACAAAATGTGGCAATCGTTGGCAACAATTATCATAATTTGACAGCGACGACGGAAGGGTACAAGTCTACGTTTAGTATCTGCGTGCACGTTGTAAAGTGGGTATTTTACATTTCTTTAAGTTTAAATCCAAACGCAAATTAATGAACTCTCTACAATATTTTTGATTTGCTTGTCGACAAACAGCAATATTTCCAATTATGAAGCGATGAACAATTATAATGAACAATTATAACCCCGTTCATAATAATAGAGCATCAGAAGTGACATTAAATCATTATGACGTGGCAGCATTTTCAACTTGATTCGATTGTGTAGCTCTGGTTTAGTAATATGCGTAGTTTTCTAGCACAGTTTGGGCAATTACTTATACCATTATTGCAATCAGCATACACAACAAATTAATTAAACACCACAATACATGTATATATAAATGATAAGGCAGCTTACTTGTGATGGGTTTCCTGGATCGACTACATCCATGAACAGTTTAGCCCTGCCTTCGAAATCCGTATGGGCGTACGTAATCCCTGTGTCCAGGACAAAGATGTTCGCATTGAATCCATCCCCTATAGTTGAAATAAGCTGTACTGTGAAATCATGGCCTCATTTGAATCGAGTCTAATATGTCATCTTGATTTTCTGGTTGAATATGTATTTGGAATAACTGTATGCAAAATGATCACCCCGAAAACGACGCTATGTAATATGCGGAATATCATACCTTCTGGGACAAATATATCATCTAATGGCAAGTTTCTCTGATCAGTTCGGTCTAACCCCCAACTTCCAATCGCATCTACATATGCAAATTGATCTTGTTCAATGTATCGCACTTTCCAAATTACGTATCTGTAAAAGCAGATCAGTATTAAATTGATTTGTTTTTTTGTGCTATGAATGTGTTTACACTATTGTAACAGGCGAGACGAATACTTACGTAGTCTAGACCTTTATTGTCGATGGTAACAACAAAACCGTTCATTCCTTTATACTCCCATCCAAACTCTGCGACAACAGAAAATGATTTGATGCGGCTGATGGTACTTTGTAAATCGGCATCTTTCTGAAATCATAAATGCCATTTCTAATTTTTATTTAAAAACAATAATGCAAATGAGGCAATTGTCATTCATCAGATGAACTAATTAGAATTATTTTAGGGCTGCCCAACTCACCTTCAAAAGAACCATATATCTATTCGGAATAGCAGTATCTTCTTCGGCGTAGTGCACTGGCGCCAACGCGTTCACCCATTGCAATAAAGTCAACACCGCTAACACTAAAAGCCACTTCATTATTGAACTAAAGAAAGGAAATTCAAAATAGAAAACTTATTTGAGAAAGTGCTTGCATAAATTGACGGAGCTGCCAACCATTTCTCCTTACCTGCGGTGTGCCCAAATCATAAATGACAATGATGTTATCTTGTCCTGTAAGGTGTGGGGAGCAATTAGTGTGAAGTTTCCATATGTTCATTTGATAGATCAAACAAGATTACCGCTTTATTGGTAACATATTAGTATATTTCTCTACTAGTTTTAGATCTCGTCTAGACGGTGCGTTGACACAGTAATATTCACCAATGGTGAACCATTGTTTTGCAACAGATGTCTTATGTGCACTGGCGGCTTTAAACGAATTTGTAACTGAATCTGTATTTGTGTGAATCTTATACATGTAGGTATTCGTAAAGTGTGTCGAACTTTTAGGCAATTTAGCCCGGAATTTTAAATTTGCATGTATATACGTTGTTAAACTCAAAATATGCTGCTTAGTTTCAACAAGGAGCTAAAAGGAGATGAGCTGCATTGTATGAACAAGTTTATATGCATGTAACGAATTATTTTATATAATCCAGAATTGTGAAATAATATTGTTCGATTTAAAAAGTTCAGATTCAGACAATGTGCATACTGTATATTTTGCTAACTTTGCTGACCAGGCTAAACTACATTGGCACGATGCCAGTCGAACATAATTATATATTTTTTTTAAATATTTGCTTGCTTAATTTCATTGTAATTTTTATTTATGTTTATGTTCATATAACACAATGATACAACGTATACCACATCTGTTTTGCCCATGTGTGTCATAGGGCAAATTATTTTGAATTTTAATTCGTCCGCTGTAAGCGGGCGCACACGGTGGGATGAGAGTGGTGGTCAGCGATGATTATAGCACTTGTTCAGATTGACTGTGCGTCGAATTTGGAACATGAGGCAACCGCTCAAATCAATGCAGAAAAGCATAATGCAGGCGACCACCACGCTATTTGTAAGGCTGTTTCACATTGGTCAATATGGAGGCTATTTTTTGGGCAACATGTAAAGTTGCTCCTGAGACGATCCTGTAGTCCATGAAATTTACCACTGCAGAAGTTAGCGCAATATCACGATTTTCGAGTTCAGTGGAAAGAAGAAAGTTTATTTCATTTTTATCGCAAGCGGGCGCATCGGTTTAACTGTATCACTCCACAATGAATGCTCATATAAGAATACATTTTGAGTACTAATTCACAATAAATTCCATTTTTATTTTCTAACATATTCGTTTTTTTTTTATTTATTACATTTTTCTGCCAAATCAGTTTGAAATAAATTATTTCAGGGCAAACGAGTCGCATCCCTACAGTCTATCATCACAGTGCTTGTAATCTTGTTTCTTTCAGATACAGACACTCTTGTTTCATAGTGACACGAATACGTACTTGTCTTTACATGCATAGTAAACAAGCATCACTTTTTTCTCCTCGCAAAATCCAACCGTGGAAGGCAGGACAAAATCGGAATGTTAAACACACTGGGATACTAATTCTCATTAAGACTTCGCGTCTTCAAGTTCTTCAGATAGGAAATCATTTCAAAGCATGTCATATATGCTCAATATTTAATTTTTTTTACACATTTATTTTAGACAATTTGGTACAAAATGTACTAAAAGAACGATATTTGTGGGCGATGACGTTGTGATTCAGTTAATTTTTACATCACATCAAAGTAAATGTCATATTGGTTGTTCACAGACTCTGGACAGTTCGTAAAATAGCGAGGCGACAGTAAGAACGATTGTAACAGATACAGTAACGGTAAATATCCGTACACCTACTGTTATTCTGGTAAACCCGTAATACGTATGAACAAGTAATGAGACAGACCTTTGAACTGCATTGGATGTTAATCCGAAATATAGACAAATGGGAAGTTATTTTGTATGTAGAATAGGGCGAGTCACTTAAGTACTACCAGGCTGCTGTCCTCCGTATAAGATTTCCCGTAACATTGCGTCAGCGATCGCCCGAGAGAAAAAAACAGGAGTACACCTAGTTGCTATAGCTACCTCTGTCGATAATTTATATTTTCAGAATTCGAGCATATAACCCACTCTTGGTTACCTGTGTTTAAACACTCACATTGTGATTAATTGTATACTTTAAACCACGAATGTTAGTGCTTATGCACTAGAGGTATATTAATGAGGAATCAGCGTCCGTTTGAGTACTCAAGCGTGAACTGTAAGAAAGGGATATTTGGCATGGTACCGTTTCTAAAGTGACTTGACGCCTATTTATATGTTTTTGTTATCGTACTTACGGACCAAACGGTGAAACTACTCTCCAATATGAGGTTATCACGAAGTTACCGCAAAGTGTGCACAAACAAACTACATAAGTATTTGTGAAACACAAAATACGCCCATCGAGAAGTGTCACTGGTGGAATATTTTATATTGCAATTTCTTTCAATTTTAATTTGCTGTATTGCAATACATTAGTAATAACCATCTATACGATCATTACTTATAGTATGTCGCTAAGCAGTACGACAAAAATGCATGATGCAAAGCCCATTCTATAAATAGTCAAATGTTTCTTAGTCGAAGTAAGAAACTAGGGGATATTATCAGAGCAGTTGTCATATTTATTAACTCCTGCTAGAGCAACAAATCATATGGACAAATTAACAGCACTTAAGGATGGTATTCCCAGATTAACACCAGTTGTTTATGACACATAAAACATTAATTCTCAACTCCGATGAAAATACAAAGCCCTTTTCACTGCGAAAGCTACTCGTTACAAAAACCACTGACAAGAAAGCCACCCAGCGCAAAGCTAGTTGTTGTTTATATTAATAAAACACTGCATACGACAATGCAACGCTCTTCGCCGTCAAGTGTGTTTATTCACTTGCAATTTAATTCTAGAAAACGTTTTCATTCATACGTCACCTGGTTCGCGGTGATTAGGGTTGTGACACATTTCTCTCTTCATCAATTATTGGAAGTTCCCATCGTGTCCTAACACTAAGACGTCTGTGACAGGGCTATCTGTCGAAAAGAGTAATAAATTGGAAATAGACACAGGTGTGTTGGCTTTGTTGTGTCTGTAATTACATTTCGTGCATTGACACGATTTTGAGTAGAGTTGCGTCACCCAAGTCGGTCGCCGCCGCCGATCTCCCTACAAAAGTGGGAAAACCACGTAACACATGCCATAGTTACACTGTCCATGCGTGAATGTCTCTGTCTGTATTTTCAAATGTATGTTACAACATTTGTTTGTGTAAATGCATACTTACTTTTACAACTTCAATAACTCTGTGTTTATACGTTTATCCCAATGATACTCGAACGTGATCAGAATATTAATTCTAAACGGTAACACACAAAAACAATCGGATATATATAATATATTTATATTTAATAATATGCGCATACAAAACGAAACACATTAAATTCGGACATGTAAGGCTATGTTTACCAATGACTCAGACTCCCTATTTTCTCAGAGGTGTAATCGACCAATGAGAGCGGAAAGCGACGACGACTTTGCTGATGAAGAGTAAACACTGGCATTATGTACTAATCAAACTTAAAGACAAAAAGTTTAATTTTAGCATGAAATACTCCATTTCGCATAGTCGTTGTGTTTTATTCGTTTTTGTCATTACGATTTCTTTGTCTTACATGAATATTTATTGTAAAGTAGAACAACGCTGATTTTGAATCATTTCAGTGATATTACGAATGTGAGAGAAAATATATATCATAGTTACAGTTGTTGATGTACATGTACTCAGCAATTGAGCGTTAATCGCGGGCGATTACTCTTTCCTGAATCCAGGCGAGGTTATAAAACCCCGCCAGCCTTAATATAGTGTCACGAAGCGAAAGAAACTGGTTCGGTGGTGTCCATGTGTAGTGATTGGTTATGTTGATTGTAATTGTGATTATCGGACAACTATTGAGAACAATTAGTTTATTTGGAAATCCTTATACCTTTTAGATTCATGTTTTTAAGGTCATCTAAATCAAAACCTGTATAAAAAATAAAGTCCTCACACTGTTGAAAGAGTACACACAAATAGAAAAATATTAGAAAATATGTTTAATAACATACTTCTTAACATAAAGCATATATATATCTTATAACTTAAAGTGTTGTGCATTGTATCTTTCGTAGGTTTGTAATTGCAAAAGATATTCAAATAGAATAGACATAAATATCGCAGTGAATCAATGACATATATTCTTGTTCGAGGACGCGTTCGAAATGTCACGCAATCTGTTATTTGTAGTTATGCATGACAAATTACAAAGTTGTTGATGCAAGAAAGGAAAAAGGCATTGTCGCTCTGACACAAGCGAATGCGCGACCAACTCATGTGAGTAAACACACGATGTGCGATGTCCCTATTATTGTAAATATAAGGCGCTGTTTTGTAATAGTGGACATCGAGAACTACCGACTAATTAAATTCCTTTTCGGTATTTACCGTTTCGCAATGACTTGTTCCGTAACGTGCTATTGTGGTGGGTTTCGACACTGTGTCGTTTTGCGTTTGTCAATAGCTTGTCAATGCAGACAACTGTTTTTTTCTGTGTCAATTTTCAATTCTTAGTTGTTCAGTTTTCTGTGGTGTCGATCATGAAATAATAACACCCTTGATAACCATTTTTTTTAGTTGTTACTCTTCTATTGATCGGTTCACTGCTTGGGGGAGAATTCAAGAGGGACAAATATCGTTTATTGCACACCTTGATCATTGAGTGGATAACGTGTTACACGGCAGACTTCGTCAGAGGTTGTACATTTACAAAACGTGTTGGAGCGTCGCCTGGTTCGGCAACGTCGCGATTTTACACTTCTATCTGTCGTGTCTTCCCAATTGTTCTATCTAGGAAACGTTCAAGTACGTGTAGTAACTTCCAAGAGTAGCCAGTGTAGTACTAGTTACGCTCGACAGAAAAGTCAACCAAATACCCATTATCTGCACAGATTGAACTATGAAAT